AAAATATTAGATTTTAAGCCCATAGCTCTGCATCTTCCTTGGTGGTTTGGCTGATTTAAATGTGTTTCTCTCCAGGTGAGGAAGGTCCTGCAGACATCGTCTGCCAGGAGGGACAGACAATGGAGGACAGTCAGAGACCTGCAGAAGGAGTCGGAGGATCTGGAGACTGAACAGGCAGCCATGCAACGCCGCATGAACCGGATCCTCCAGAGTATGAGGAGCCTGACTGAGGCAAGGTCAGGGGGTGGGGCTTGCACTGGCATCAGCTCCATGAAGGTGAGCAAAAACTAGGAAGTTAACCAATAAATTATCAGGAATCATGAAGAGACCAAGTCATCAGTCACACTCACGTTTGCTGCAAAAAATGTTTTGCAAAGTATATTGATGACTCGCATATGAGGGGGTGGTAAATAAATTAGCACATTACTTCAGCAACTGGAGCTGGAAATGGCCACTACCAAGCGATCTCTTTATATGTGGGCAGGTTTCAGCCAACATTACCTTACCAACATTAACAGAGCTACTGAGGCAAGGAAGTCAATTGTGAGGGTGTTAAAAACATGACAAACTTTCCAAATGCTGCATAAATATCAACAGCTGCTGTACCATTAGCACTGGAGCTGTCCTGGATCAGGAGCATGCTGATTGAACCTTACAAAGAAGAAAGCTTCAGCAGTTGCTTCGATGGATTTATCAATGAAGTTCAGAGATCTTCTTCTTACACTTTAACATTGTTGCTGTGTTGCAGGTTCTCGTTGATAAACAGGCCCGACGACTTGCCAACCTGACCTCTGAGGTCTCTGCATGGGAGAGAATGATTGACAGACGCCAGCAGTACATCGAACATCTGGAGAAACAGCTGTCTTCAGGTTTAATGCTAACATTTTATACTTTTTTCATATCATGTTTTTGATTCTGTCTTTTCTACCTTTATAACTAAATATTTTACCTGTCTTGTGTATGTCACAAGGGAGGGCAAAGTCAGGCCTGCTGGTTGACCCAGTATGAAACTTCTCATTAGTTTCTTTTTTTAAAACACAGTTTTTACCCATTATCTAATTTGCCAAAAATTACATTAAATATCTCTAAATATACTTGATAAATAGCCTCAAAATCTTGTACAGACTTTTGATCACCAAACTATTGAATATTTCCACAACCACTGCATCGATTGCTGAATAATGTGACACAGATGAGCATGTTTTTTTTTAACTTTTGGCTGCAGATGTACTTTATGATTGGTGCTTACTGGATAATTTGAGCTCAGCAGTGTAGCATGGCTGACTATCTTGTCTGTCACTCTAAATGTGTCTCTGTATTTTCTTTTCTCTGGTAATTACTTGGGTTTGCTTTCTACCTGCTCTTGTCCTCTCTGTCTAGTGCAAATAACTGTGAAAGCCCTGCACTGGCTGTGCTGTGTTGTTCATTAAAAATGCTCAGGAGTTTGTCTTCCTCTCCGGTGTGTCTTTGTGTGTTTGTTTTAGATGCCTAAAAGCCTCCCAGCAGCGCAGAGGGTAGAGGTTCACCCAGCCTGTGACCGATGAGCACAGCTGCATCAACACTGTGACTCTGACCAACTTACAGGCTGAGACTGATGCTGCAAAACTGACAAGGCAAACAGCTCTGACAGTCAGCCATGTGAGATGTCAGTGCCTTTTTAAACGTGTGTGCCATCTGCATCTCACAAGGATGGTTTTTTTTTACAGCATAAAGCAAATATTTTTACCCAAAACATAATAAAACATCTCAATTTCAATAAACCTAATGCAAAAAGCTGTTTGGATTCCTCATCTAGTATTTATAAATCAAAATCATCTCACCACTCCTCAGATTTATATGGTGGCCTCTTAGATAGGCCGGACTCTCAAGCTGGGCACCAGTGAGGAAACTAGCTAACTATAGTTCATGTAATTAAAACAATAACACCGTGTCTGTTTTGTGAAACTTCTTTTACTTTACGGGAGTTTATTGTGTTATTCAGAGTGCTTTAAGGCAGGGCTTTTACTTCTAATAGAGCATTTTTCTATGTTATTTAGAGTTCGTCTGTGTCAAATATGTTGTGGAAGTGTTCTGTCCTCAGTAAGAGCTGCCTGTTTCTAAAGGTTTGAAAACACTACTTGACTTGTTCCTGAGTCATCACGTTGTGGCTCTGGCTTTCACATTGTTGTGGTGATGATGAAACGACTCACGAAGATAGTTTGTCACACTCACTGAAATAAACACGAGCGTAGTGAGACAGTTGTTCAGCACACCCACCGATAAAACAAATCATCCAGTTGAGTCACACTGAAATTTTTAAAAACTGAAAAGGCAAAGTTAGACTTGGTCATGCTTTTAGACATTATTTAACTAACAAGTTACACGAAAGAACACAGAAATTAAACGACTGTGCTAGAATATTGAACTAAGACTATATTCTGAGATCCAGCAACTATCGCACAGCTCCTTTACGAGTAACAGAGAAAACAGTGTTTGTCATTTTGATGTCACTGGCCAGAAATTTGTTAGTAATTGTTCGTGTTTTGACCTTGATCCTACATTACAGATGATCTGGATGTTGGTTTTATGTGTTTGCGTTGTGGCTTGGTCATTCTTGAAAATGAGATTTTTGATCTCAGTCACGTAATGGACATACTGTATACTGTCTGGCTTAAAGAAGAAGAAGAAGAAGAAGAAGAAAAAAAAGAAAAAGAAGAAGCCTCCAGCTGGATTTAACTAAGCAAACAGGTAAACCAAGAAAACAGTTGAGATTACTGAAGCTGCTGAAACTAGGTTAAGAACTGTCCGAAGCATTATTAAAACCTGTGATAGTGGTCAACCATCAAACTGCAGTTTGCTCTACATATTTGAGTTGTTTGCCATGCTTGGTAAGGCATTTTTTTCAAAGATTGTTTCAATTATTATTTTGAGCTTTTACTTCTGTGGCTCTTTGGAGTTGAGACAAAGCTGTGTGAAAGGCATTAGCCATGTTGCTCGCTGATAGCATAATATTCTGTTTTAGCTAGCTGAAAGGTATTGTTTGCGGGCAAATACCACAGCCTTGAAAAAAAGCTTGCATGTAAATTTTCAGTCAAACCTTTGGTCAAATACACCTAAAACAATGTCTAAAATGTGAAATGTTGGTATAATGGTGCTACTTGAAGCCTGAAAACGATCGCCCATAAAA